TCTAGTAGGTTACCACGGGGTGATGAGCCCCCATCATAACACTTGAAATCTCAGGGCTCACCACTCTGCAGTGTCACATGGTCATGGGTTGATGTCCCCCTTTAGGTGTGGAGAAATCCCTGGCCTCTTCGTCTCCACACTGTCTGGCTTCCATCCTGCCAATGACTGACTGTGGCTAGCCACAGCTGTGCTGTTTGGGCCCCTCCATCATGTGACACGGATGATTCCTGTTTGGGCCCCACCACCATCATGTGACACGGAATATTCCTGTTTGGGCCTCACCACCATCATGTGACACGGATGATTCCTGTTTGGGCCCCACCACCATCATGTGACATGGATGATTCCTGTTTGGGCCCCACCACCATCATGTGACACGGATTATTCCTGTTTGGGCCCCACCACCATCATGTGACACGGATGATTCCTGTTTGGGCCTCACCACCATCATGTGACACGGATGATTCCTGTTTGGGCCCCTCCACCATGTGACACGGATGATTCCTGTTTTGGGCCCCTCCACCATGTGACACGGATGATTCCTGTTTGGGCCCCTCCACCATGTGACACGGATGATTCCAGTTTGGGCCCCACCACCACCATGTGACACGGATGATTCCTGTTTGGGCCCCACCACCATCATGTGACACGGATGATTCCTGTTTGGGCCCCTCCACCATCATGTGACACGGATGATTCCTGTTTGGGCCCCACCACCATCATGTGACACGGATGATTCCTGTTTGGGCCCCTCCACCATCATGTGACACGGATGATTCCTGTTTGGGCCCCTCCACCATCATGTGACACGGATGATTCCTGTTTGGGCCCCTCCACCATCATGTGACACGGATGATTCCTGTTTGGACCCCTCCACCATCATGTGACACGGATGATTCCTGTTTGGGCCCCTCCACCATCATGTGACACGGATGATTCCTGTTTGGGCCCCTCCACCATGTGACACGGATGATTCCTGTTTGGGCCCCACCACCATGTGACACGGATGATTCCTGTTTGGGCCCCTCCACCATGTGACACGGTGTGTCGATAATAATCTACTAATGGACTAAAGGCTGTGGTGTATTAACCACTTGAAGAACGTCTTTGTTCCTGTCTGATCATGATGGCCCTTGTTTGTGTTCAAACTCTGCTGGGCAGTTGTAAAATGGATGTCAAGTTAGACACTGATGTCCCTGTTTCAGAGAGAAGAAGAGAAACAGGAACCTAAAGCAACAGAGAAACACACAAAGAAGAGTGACACTCGTTCCTTTGTCAGTTCAAACCCTTTGCTTTCATCAGTATTGTTTTAGGGAGCTCTAGGTGTAGATGGTAAGGTTCAAGTTGCCAGCTCTGCTTTCTTGAGCATTTTGAGTAAGAGAGATGGGGTGGGGGGAAAAACAACAACTTGAGTTGAATCAAGAAGTAAACCTATGCCTAAATGGAGAAGCTGCATGGATTCAAAAACAGTCTATTACTCCATTTCCTCTAATGGTAAAACTATTGTACAGTTCTACAATTGGTTAGGAAGTGAGACTACTCATCTTACGGGGGGCTTTCCCTGTTAGATCACCCATGGTTGCTGTGTATTTTAATGTAGGCTTGTTTACGCGCGTGTCTCTAGGCTGTTCTGTAATGTCGTCTTATTGAGTGATGCATGCTTTGGCAGCCCGCCAACAAGGACCAGTCAGGAAAGCAAACATCCGGGACCTATAAAATTCTTCACACTGACTGCAGAGAGAATGAAGAGACCAGGTTAACCTGTCCTTGATCTTGATATGTGTGTGTGTGTGTGTGTGTGTGTGTGTGTGTGTGTGTGTGTGTGTGTGTGTGTGCGCGCCTGCCAGTGAGGAACTTGCATGAATGGAAGCAGTGTAAGGCCTCATTGTAACCAGACTGGATCACAGCCTTTCCATACTGTAACAGACTGTTCCATATATTCCACTAGTCCCTGTTATCTACAGGCTAGTTTATATAGTTCAAAATCCAACACACGTGTCTCTTACCAAGACAAAGTCAGACTCATTGCTTTTTAAAGTTATTGTTTTATGTAGCCTAGGCCTACAGGTTGGATGACTTTGGGATCTATCCTCCCACAACTGTCCCAGAGTCTGTTTGGAACAGGCTATTTATTTGTCGCGCAGAACGACAAGCTGACCAACAGAACAGGTAAACGTTTCTACTATGGGGGATAGTAGATTGACATAGGATAGTGATTTTGCTGTTAGTTACTCGTCTTGTTGGCTGAGGAAAAGTAAAATGTGGACAGTTATTCTAACATCTTCAAATGCGCATCAGAATTCAGTAAGAAGGACGCACACCGTTGCATCCTCGAGTTGCCTGTTCTGTTATTATGAATTACCATAATTTAAATGTGATTTCTGTCATTCTGAGCACCGTGGGTGGACGCCCCGATCAGGTTATACAACCAATGTGTATGGGTCCGGTAAATGTCTCAAATGTCCGGTAAATTGAAAATGCTGCTAGTCAAATGTCCGGTGCCACATTTTCCTAACGGAAACCCTGGCAGGTGCCGGATAGGCTATCAGTATCACTAAATACAGGGAAGCTCCAAAAGTATTGGGACAGTGACACATCTTTTGTTGTTTTGGCAATGTACTGAAATTATACAATGACTATGAGGCTAAAGTGCAGACTGTCAGCTTTAATTTGAAGGTATTTCCTTCCATATCGGGTGAACCGTTTACAAATTACAGCACCTTTTGTACATAGCCCCACCATTTTAGGGGATCAAAAGTTTTGGGACAAATTCACTTATGTGTATTAAAGTAATAAAAAGTTAAGTATTTGGTCCCATATTCATAGCACGCAGTGACAACATCAAGTTTGTGACTACACATTTGTTGGATGCTTGCTGTTTGTTTTGGTTGTGTTTGAGATTATTTTGTGCCCAATGGAAATGAATGGTAAATAATGTACTGTGTCATTTTGGAGTCACTTTTATTGTAAATAAGAATAGAATGTGTTTATAAACACTTCTACATTCATGTGGATGCTACCATGATTACGGATAATCCTGAATGAATCGTGAATAAGGATGAGTGAGAAAGTTACAGACACACAAATATCATACCCCTCCCCAACAAATGTAACCTCCCCTTTTATTGTAATGGTGAGAGGTTAGCATGTCTTGGGGGTATGATATTTGTGCGTCTGTAACTTTCTCACTTGCACAGGACAGCAAGGATACGGCTCTCTCCACCACAGCTCTCTTCTTCAGTAACACAGGTAGCTCCCTTCTCTAGTACAGTAGACAGTCACAGCGTAGCTCCCTGCTCTCTCTGTACAGTAACAGTACAGCGTAGCTCCCTGCTCTCCTGTCTGTGCAGTAACAGTAACCCTCAACGGACTCAGCGCTCCCTGCTCTCTCTGGCAGTAACAGTACAGCGTAGGTCTCCCGGAGCTCTCTCTGTGCAGTAACAGTAACAGTACAAGCGTAGCTCCCGCCTCTCTTGCAGTACATACAAGCGCTCCTCTAGCTCGCTCTTACAGTACAGTACAGCGTAGCTCCCTGCGCTCTCTGTTCGTTAACAGTCAAGCGTCGCTCCGCTCTTCTGTGCAGTAACAGTACAGCGTAGCTCCCTGCTCTCTCTGTGCAGTAACAGTACAGCGTAGCTCCCTGCTCTCTCTGTACAGTAACAGTACAGCGTAGCTCCCTGCTCTCTCTGTACAGTAACAGTACAGCGTAGCTCCCTGCTCTCTCTGTACAGTAACAGTACAGCGTAGCTCCCTGCTCTCTCTGTACAGTAACAGTACAGCGTAGCTCCCTGCTCTCTCTGTGCAGTAACAGTACAACGTAGCTCCCTGCTGGACAGTCTGAACTGGATTAGCGGCTCACTATAATCTGGGACACCGCAGATTACGCTTGCTTCCATCTCACGGGCCTGCCCTATCCCGGGCCTGGGCATGTCATGTGACCAACCAACAAATGGCACCTCGTATTTCCTTAGATGGCAGGGGTGGGCAACGGAGGGAGGGATGAGAGGGGGAGAGTGGCGCAGTGGTCTAAGGCCACTGCATCGCAGTGTACTGTGCACTAGAGATCCTGGTTACCAGCCTGTCGTAGCCGGCCGCACGGAGACCGTGGACATTGCCAGCGTCGTCAGGGTAGGAGGGAATGCGCAGGGATGTAGCTCAGTTGGTAGCATGCATTTGCAACGCAGGGTGTGGTCGTTCCAGTATAAAAAAAATATGCACTCACAAGTAAGCGCTCTGGTAGATCTGCTAAATGACGTAATGTAAATGTAAATGAGAGACCAACTGGAACTGAACTAGAGATGGTGTACATCACAGAAGCGCTCCTGCACGCCATAAACGCTAGCTAGCCTAGCATCATGCTCTTTTACTGTGAAAACCTCCTGATTGTGCAGAATCTGAATCTGTGGATGGCAGCAATCCACCAGTGGCCTTTGGGATTATTTACAACAGACAAGCCTAGTTACCGGGGCACTGGGAGTGACTGACTGTTGGTGATTGCAGCGTCAACAGAGAGCGAAGAGGAAAGGGAAGGTAACTCATTAACACTACAGAACGACTGTCGTGATGCCGCCTCGGCCTGCCTGTCTGGCTGCTTGTCATATGAGCCTGCAGCAGAAAGACAGACCCAGAGACAGACAGACAGACCCAGAGACAGACAGACAGACCCAGAGACAGACAGACAGGCTAGGAGGCTAACCTTGGCTGGAGCTGTCTGTCTGTCCGACAGGAACACACACATACTGACATATAACCCACACGACACACTGTCACAAAACACACACACACACGCTGTCACATAACACTGACACACACACAACACAGAAGCGCCGTGCGCTAGCAGACCAGGAGACAGGAGAGGACAATCAGAGCAGTGAGTGAGCTGTACCCCAGCTGCACGCGCCCTATCACATGCAGGCAATTAGTGTCAACGGGGACCTATGAGTCGTTGCAGTGGGAGCCCAGCCAGCTAGCCAGCCACCTAACCCAGCCAGGCAACAGCCATGGACCCTCTGGAGCAGGAATACAAGTCCCCATTTGACTTTGAGCAGGGGGTGAATAGCAGCTACCTCTATCTGTCTCCCAGCTTCAATGTAACACCACCGGGCTCACCGCAAGTGACTGTCAGAGCCAGAGGTAACCAGAGGAGTGTGTGGGGGAGTGAGTGAAGAAGTTTGCATTTGTTCTAGGGTGTGGATAGGGTGTTTGGAAAGAGAACAAGAGATAGATGGGGTGGGAGGGGGCATGTGAGAGAGAGAGCGAGGGAGAGAGAGGGGGATGGATCATTTGTGTTTCTTGATTTATGAGAGTGTGGGCGGGGGGCACTGTGTGTGCGTGTGTCTGCGTACTTTTGCTGTTCAATACGAGGGGCTGTCTGGAGCAGATGTCAAACAGACCAAGGTTGGTTCTGACAAGACCACAATGAACACACTCCTAGAAAGAAACCTAGAATGGTTTCAAACCTAAAGTGGTGTCATCAAACCTAGAGCGGTTTAAGAGTGTTGAACTGGAGCTTGGTCAAGCCATGAGAAATACTCTACAAGGCTGGTATCACAGGCAAATCCATTTAAAGAAATATTAGTCAGATAATGTATAACAAAGAGTTTATGTGACTCTTAACTATGCTGGCAGTGCCATCCAGTGGAGGCTCCTCAGAGGAGGAAGGGGAGGACCATCCTCAGTGAATTTCATAAAAATACAAATTGTGAAACATTAATAAAGTTATCCTATTTAGATAAAACTGTACTAAATATATTAATGTCACCAAATAATTGATTAAAACACACTGTTTTGCAATGAAGGTCTACAGTAGCCTCAACAGCACTCTGTAGGGTAACACCATGGTGTAGCCGGAGGACAGCTAGTTTCTGTCCTCCTCTGGGTACATTGACTTCAATACAAAACCTAGGAGGCTCATGGTTCTCACCCCCTACTATAGACTTACACAGTAATTATGACAACTTCCGGAGGACGTCCTCCAACCTATCAGAGCTCTTGCAGCATGAACTGACAAGTTGTCCAACCAATCAAAGGATCAGAGAATGAATCTAGTACTGAAAGCATAAGCTACACCTAGCTAGCACTGCAGTGCATATAATGTGGTGAGTAGTTGACTCAAAGAGGGAAATAAGTATTTGACCCCTCTGCAAAACATGACTTAGTACTTGGTGGCAAAACCCTTGTTGGCAATTACAGAGGTCAGACATTTCTTGTAATTGGCCACCAGGTTTGCACACGTTTGGCAACTCGAACCTTCAGCTCCCTCCACAGATTTTCTATGGGATTAAGGTCTGGAGACTGGCTAGGCCACTCCAGGACCTTAATGTGCTTCTTCTTGAGCCACTCCTTTGTTGCCTTGGCCGTGTGTTTTGGGTCATTGTCCCAATGTTTTGGCATATTACATCATTTATGCAGCAGCATACAAGACATTTTTGGACTCACCTTGTTGTGCTGTGCTCACTTGAACAGGAAGGTGGCACGGCGGTCCATCTTGTGGGCTCTAGAAAGAGGCCCGAGTTCCCGATCTGGAATTCCGAGTTGGATGACCGTTCAAAATTATTTTCTGTATTTACCCAGTCGGAGCTATTTTTTTTCAGAGTTTCCTGTTGTCTTGAACTCACTGAAGTCTGAGATTTCCCAGTTCCGAGTTTCCAGTTGTTTTGAACGCGGCAGAAGTCATGATGGATTGACAGCAGTCAACACAGTTCAGGGATATAGGCTAGAAAACTCATGCATTGAAGAAAAAAACCCGTTATTAAAAATAATATACTTTCTTTTTTGAAATTGATTCAATTTCAGTTCATTTCCTGGTTTGAGAGAGTTAAATAGGAACTGACCCTGAGTCTGTTGTCAGTACAGAAACCAAGGACTCTAGGCCATATAAGGTAGGAACCCCAATGATCTGGGATGGTGGTGTAGGTTACACAGATCCGTCACTGTCAGCAGTATGGAGTCCTGGATCACTGACACCTGAGTGGCACTGCCTCGTCATCAAGAGGAGGCGGAGGGAGGAGGTGGAGTGGGGAGGGAGAGAGAGACAATAGAAAGGGAGAGGCCAAGAAGAGGTGAGAGTATAAATACGTCTTGAGCATTTTCTATCATTTCATTAAGCATCGGTCTACACAATTTCTCATGGAAATGTGATTATGATTTTGATATTCCAAATTGGGTAGATTTCTGTTAGATTGACGGTATTTTGAGCAACATTGATGAGCATGCTTCTACTTGTTAATAATCCCTCTTGAGACCAGCCAGTCTGTTCTGTAGCCTATTGAGACCAGCCAGTCTGTTCTGTAGCCTATTGAGACCAGCCAGTCTGTTCTGTAGCCTATTGAGACCAGCCAGTCTGTTCTGTAGCCTATTGAGACCAGCCAGTCTGTTCTGTAGCCTATTGAGACCAGCCAGTCTGTTCTGTAGCCTATTGAGACCAGCCAGTCCTGTTCTGTAGCCTATTGAGACCAGCCAGTCTGTTCTGTAGCCTATTGAGACCAGCCAGTCTGTTCTGTAGCCTATTGAGACCAGCCAGTCTGTTCTGTAGCCTATTGAGACCAGCCAGTCTGTTCTGTAGCCTATTGAGACCAGCCAGTCTGTTCTGTAGCCTATTCGTGCGAAAGTTGCTCTTCTTCACTCTGTTTTTGTCTTATTTCCAGCACTGTCCCTTACCCTGGAACTAGCTGTTCAAGTCAAAAAGGATGGATTGATGGCGTAGCACATCCTGTTACTCCTGATCCTGAACAGCCCACCAGACAGTAGCTAACAAACACCACTTGGTAACACTTTGAAGGCTACATAGGGGCTACTTAAGAACTGCATAACAAAATCCTTTTGATTAATTGTTCAGCAGTCTTATGGCTTGGGGGTAGAAGCTGTTAAGGAGCCTTTTGGACCTAGACTTGGCGCTCCGGTACTGCTTGCCGTGTGGTAGCAGAGAGAACTATGTCAATGACATTTACATTTTAGTCATTTAGCAGACGCTCTTATCCAGAGCGACTTACAGTTAGTGAGTGCATACATTTTCATACTGGCCCCCCGTGGGAAACGAACCCACAAACCTGGCGTTGCAAGCGCCATGCTCTACCAACTGAGCTACAGGGGACATGTCATCTCTATCAACTCTGGAAATATGTTGGGAATGTGAGGAGGAGATGGAAGTGTCTGGCTGTAGGAATGTAGGGGGAGGTGAGGAGGTGATAGTGTGGTCGACCAAGCACTAAGGAAAATAAGGTAATTCCATCTCATTTAAGTCAGATACATCTCTGGTTTAGTATCAAGTAGTTCCAACCACATTTCTTCATATTTTCATGAATGGCAATCGAAACCATAGGGTACTGAGCCAATCAACTACCATCCATACAGGAACCATCCACAGATCCATGCCAGCTGTGATTCTGTATATGAACTACTGTTACCATAACAACAGTTATATCTAACCCTAATCAACTACGGGGACCTACTGTAACCATAAGAACAGTTATCTAACCATAATCAACTACAGGGAACTACTGTAACCATAACAAGAGTTGTCGAACCCTAATCAGAACGGGACCACAGAGTGCTGAAGCGTGTAGCGTGTAAAAATCATCTGTCCTCGCATGCAACACTCACTACCGAGTTCCAAACTGCCTCGGGAAGCAACATCAGCACAATAACTGTTCGTCGGGAGCTTCATGAAATGGTTTCCATGGCCGAGCAGCCGCACACAAGCCTAAGATCACCACGCGCAATGCCAAGCGTCGGCTGGAGTGGTGTAAAGCTCGCCCGATTGGACTCTGGAGCAGTGGAAACGCATTCTCTGGAGTGATGAATCACGCTTCACCTTCTGGCAGTCCGACAGAATCTGGGCTTGGGGGATGCCAGGTGAATGCTACCTGCCCGAATGCATAGTGCCAACTGTAAAGTTTGGTGGAGGTAGAATAATGGTCTGGGGCTGTTTTCATGGTTTGGGCTAGGCCCCTTAGTTCCAGTGAAGGGAAATCTTAACGCTACAGCATACAAGGACATTCTAGACGATTCTGTGCTTCCAACTTTGTGGCAACAGTTTGGGGAAGGCCCTTTCCTGTTTCCGCATGACAATGCCCCCGTGCACAAAGCGAGGTCCATACAGAAATGGTTTGTCGGTGATCGATGTGGAAGAACTTGACTGGCCTGCACAAAGCCCTGACCTCAATCCCATCGAACACCTTTGGGATGAATTGGAACGCCGACTGAACCAGGCCTAATCGCCCAACATCAGTGCCCGACCTCACTAATGCTCTTGTGGCTGAATGGAAGCAAGTCCCTGCAGCAATGTTCCAACATCTAGTTGAAAGCCTTCCCAGAAGAGTGCTGTTCTAGCATTAAAGGGGGTACCAACTCCATATTAATGCCAATGATTTCAACAAGCAGGTGTCCACATAATATTGGTCATGTAGTGTATCAAATCCATGATTCACACTACACAGGCCAAAACTATATTTCTCCAATCAGAGAAAGTTAGGACAGTGCATCAGCAAAATGTCATATTGACTGTACAGTAGAGCATATTAGTTACCTAGTAAGATAATTAGTTATTGGAGTTGTTATTCCACTTGCAGACTTTTTGTGTCTTGTTGATTAACAGCTCTGTTCTGAACTACCTCTGTTTTTCTCTCCTGCTGTCAAGTCTCAGAATGGCTCCATCCAGAAAGTTTGGCTATTCATGTGTTGTTTTTCCTACAGCGTACAGCCATGACTGGCCTGCTCAAGGCTGAGTGTCAGACATCCAAGCAGTGGTGGGACAACAATATTGCGTGTGTGCGTGATAGCGTATATGTGTGTGCGATAGCGTATATGTGTGTGCGATTGCATGCAAGTGTGTGCGATTGCGTGTGTATGTGTGTGTGCCCTTGGGCTAGTATCCATCTTCAAAGGCTATCTCTTAATCTAACTGGTCCTCCCAACTCTCATCCTCCACCCCCTGTGGACTATCTTTTCTTTATGTCTTCTTCCTCTTCCTCCTCTTCAGAAGGAGAGATACTACTCAGGTTGACAGCTAATGTTGGTATGGTCCTACTATGCCTTTGAGGATAGGAAATCCTTTGAGTGTGAGGATATCTCTCTTAACTCTCTCTCTCTCTCTCTCCCTCTCTCTCTCTCTCTCTCTCTCCCCTCTCCCTCTCTCCAGGTGCTGTGAGACCAGACTCTATCCCAGAGGTAGGGGAGGATGCAGTCACGTCAGTGACCGTGTCCCCTTCCATCCCCACCCTGACAGAGGAGGAGCAGGAGGAGCTACGAGGGGAGCTGCTCAGGGTAACCTTTCCTGAGACCTAAAGAGTTTCTTTAGCCTCCAGAGCCAATGCCCTTTTCTCCCGCCACGTCTCACCAGGTCTCCCTGTCTTTCTCCATATCTCTCGAAGGTGGAGGATGAGATCTTGACTCTGTCTCAGGTGCTGACAACTAAGGAGAACCAGTTGGCAGACATCAAGAGGAAGCTGGGCATCACTCCTCTCAACGAGCTCAAACAGAACCTCAGCAAGAGCTGGCAAGAGGTCACCACCTCTACGGCGTACGTGGCTGTACACACACACACACACACACACACACACACACTGTTCTGCAGAGTCAGCTCTCACAGGCTGACTAGTCGGAGGGGGGAATGAATGTGTACATACTCTCTTCTTCCTTTCTCATACTTAATAATTTCATCTCACCTCTCCCTCTTATCATTTCTCTCCATCTTTCTCTCTTGCACCTCTTTTGCATATTCACTCCCTCTGTTCTCCATCGTGCTCTTATTCCCCTCTCTCCCTCTCAATTCAATTCAATTCAATTTGCTTTATTGGCATGACGTAACAATATACATATTGCCAAAGTTTACATTGGAGATTTACAATATTAACATAATTAATAATAATAATCAATATTGTCAACGGGACAACAGTAACAACAATAACCAAGGGTCAAAATAACCATTGAACAATAACAATAAGCATAGAGGACATGTGCAGGTTGGTTAGTCTGTCAGACACTGTCCCTCATCTTATGGCAGGCAGCAATGTAGTGCGCTGCCAACCACAGCTCTCTGCTTCCTCCCCGAACAGGACGGGTAGCCTATTCTCATCAGAGAGGTGTTTGAAAATTTGGGGAAATGACTCTCTCTCTATACAGCTATAAGAAGACGTCAGAGGGCCTGTCCATGGCCGGTCATAAGGCCACAGCAGCCTTCACCAACATGGGCTCAGCCATCAGCAGGAAGTTTGAGGACGTCAGGTAACCACCTCTACCCAGCCACCTCTACCCACTACCCCAGCCACCTCTACCCTCTACCCCAGCCACCTCTACCCACTACCCCAGCCACCTCTACCCTCTACCCCAGCCACCTCTACCCACTACCCCAGCCACCTCTACCCTCTACCCCAGCCACCTCTACCCTCTACCCCCAGCCACCTCTACCCTCTACCCCCAGCCACCTCTACCCTCTACCCCAGACACCTCTACCCTCTACCCCAGCCACCTCTACCCAGCCACCTCTACCCACTACCCCAGCCACCTCTACCCTCTACCCCAGCCACCTCTACCCTCTACCCCAGCCACCTCTACCCTCTACCCCAGCCACCTCTACCCAGACACCTCTACCCACTACCCCAGCCACCTCTACCCTCTACCCCAGCCACCCCTACCCACTACCCCAGCCACCTCTACCCTCTACCCCAGACACCTCTACCCTCTACCCCAGACACCTCTACCCTCTACCCCAGACACCTCTACCCTCTACCCCAGACACCTCTACCCTCTACCCCAGCCACCTCTACCCTCTACCCCAGCCACCTCTACCCTCTACCCAGCCACCTCTACCCTCTACCTCAGCCACCTCTACCCTCTAACCGGCAACCTACCCTCTACCCAGCCACCTCTACCCTCTACCCCAGCCACCTCTACCCTCTACTTCAGCCATCTCTACCCTCTACCCAGCCACCTCTACCCTCTCTACTTCAGCCATCTCTACCCTCTACCCATCCACCTCTACCCTCTATCCCAGCAACCTTTACCATCTACCCAGCCACCTCTACCCTCTACTTCAGCCACCTCTACCCTCTACCCAGCCACCTCTACCCTCTACCCCAGCCACCTCTACCCTCTACTTCAGCCATCTCTACCCTCTACTTCAGCCATCTCTACCCTCTACCCAGCCACATCTACCCTCTCTACTTCAGCCATCTCTACCCTCTACCCATCCACCTCTACCCTCTATCCCAGCAACCTTTACCATCTACCCAGCCACCTCTACCCTCTACTTCAGCCATCTCTACCATCTACCCAGCCACCTCTACCCTCTACTTCAGCCATCTCTACCCTCTACACCAGCCACCGCTACCATATACCCAGCCACCTCTATCCTCTACCCAGCCACCTCTATCCTCTACCCAGCCACCTCTACCCTCTACCCTCTACCCAGCCACCTCTACCCCAGCCTGGCCCTCCCTTGGTCATTAGCACCAATGAGACACATTGGAATAAAATGTGATGTGTCCACTACTAACATCCCTGTACTAATAATACTAGCTAGTACTGCTGATATACAGTGCATTTGGAAAGTATTCAGACCCTTTCCCAGATTGTGTTAGGTTAAAGCCTTATTCCTCATCAATCTACACAGAATACCCCATAATTACAAAGCGAAAACAGGTTTTGAGAATTTTCTGCATATCAAAGAATAAAAATAAAATAACTAATTTTCATAAGTATTCAGACCCTTTGCTATGAGACTTGATACTGAGTTCAGATGCATCCTGTTTCCATTGATCATCCTTGAGATGTTATTACAACTTGATTGGAGTCCACCTGTGGTAAATTTAATTGATTGGACATGATTTGGAAAGGCACACACCTGTCTATACAAGGTCCCACAGTTGAGAATGAATGTCAGAGCAAAAACCAAGCCATGAGGTCGAAGGAATTGTCCGTAGAGCTCTGAGACAGGATTGTGTCGAGGCAGAGATCTGGGGAAGGGTACCAAAACATTTCTGCAGCATTGATGGTCCCAAGAACACAGTGGCCTCCCATCATTCTTAAATTAAAAAGTTTGGAACCACTAAGACTCTTCCTAGAGCTGGCCGCCCGGCCAAACTAAGCAATCGGGGGAGGAGGGCCTTGGTCAGGGAGGTGACCAAGATCCCGATGGTCAATCTGACAGAGCTCCAGAGTTCTTCTGTGGAGATGGGAAAACCTTCCAGAAGGACAACCATCTCTGCAACACTCCACCAATCAGGCGTTTATTTGGCCAGATGGAAGCCCCTCCTCAGTAAAAGGCACATGACAGCCCGCTTGGAGTTTGCCAAAAGGCACCTAAAGGACTCTCAGACCATGAGAAACAAGATTCTCTGGTCTAATGAAACCAAGATTGAAGTCTTTAGCCTGAATGCCAAGCGTCACATCTGGAGGAAACTTGGCACCGCTCATCACCTGGCCAATACCATTCCTACGGTGAAGTATTGTGGTGGCAGCATCATGCTGTTGGGATGTTTTTCAGCGGCAGGGATTGGGAGACTAGTCAGGATCGAGGGAAAGATGAACGGAGCAAAGTACAGAGAGGTCCTTGATGAAAACCTGCTCCAGAGCGCTCAGACTGAATGTCCTTGAGTGGCCCAGCCAGAGCCCGGACTTGAACCTGATCGAACATCTCTGGAGAGACCTGAAAATAGCTGTGCAGCGACGCTCCCCATTCAACCTGACAGAGCTTGAGAGGATCTGCAGAGAAGAATGGGAGAAACTCCCCAAATACAGGTGTGCCAAGCTTGTAGCGTCATACCCAAGAAGACTTGAGGCTGTAATCGCTGCCAAAGGCGCTTCAACAAAGTACTGAGTAAAGGATCTGAATACTTATGTAAATGTGGTATTTCGTTTTTTTATTATGGGGTATTGTGTGTAGATTGATGAGGAAAAAAACAATTTAATCAATTTTAGAATAAGGCTTTAACGTAACAAAATCTGAATACTTTCAGAATACACTGTACTGTATTAACATGAAGCCCGTATCCAAATAACGCTGAATTTGCAACAATATGGAAGTATTGACAGATAAGTGTAAGCTAAGCTTATCCCTGAAGTTTGGTACTGATTTCTATAAAGTAGAGAGTGGAGACTGAAGTGTCAGGCAGGGAAAATACACACACTAATCTATCTCATCTTCATTGGTCATTCTCTGTACATGTCTTTAATACAATACTTGGCCTTTACAGATTGCAGTCTATTTCCAATTCCTTTGGGTAAGACTGTCCCCGCTAGTGCCGTTAGTCAATCCATACAAAGTCATTTTGATGTGCTAGACAGGAAGAGAAAGGAAGTCATTTGAGAGAGAGAGAGGACAGAGAGAGAAAGATAGAGAGAGAGAGGAGAAAGAGAAGCGTGAGAGAAGATAGATATACCCCATTAGAGAGAGAGAGAGAGAGGAGGATAGAGAGAGGAGCGCGATCTCATAGAAGTAGAGAGAGAGAGATAACATATACAATACTAGATCCGAGAGAAGAGCGAATTAGAGATATATAATGATAGATATATCTCTCTCTCTCTCTCTCTCCTCTACTCTCTCTCTCTCTCTCTCTCTCTCTCTCTCTCTCTCTCTCCTCTCTCTCTCTCTCTCTATATCTCTCTCTCTCTCTCTCCTACTCGTCCTCTGCTCTCGATCTGCTTCTCTCTCGATCTCTCTTCTATGGGGCGGTAACTTGTGTGGGTGATTGGGTTTGTGTGAGGATTCATGTGATTGAATGATTGTCTATGTAGGCCTACATTTCCATACAGGACTAGGATAACTTGTGCATGTTGTCACCTCAACATACTCTTATAGTCAGTCATCAATTTAACTGGGATAATAGACACATGGAATGAATGAATGGAATGAATGATATAAAGGAGGAGTGAATGAGTGTGCATCTATACCTCTTCACACTAACACTGGTGCACTCTTTCTTTGCTAATCACTCTCTCTCTCTCTTCTTTAATGCTGTCGGATAGCGTACGCTCCCTACAGCATTCTGCTAGTATGCCCGTAATGAGGTAAGGGGCCAACACATAACCAAACCACGGCTTGCTGGAACCCTCTACTCCCCAGTGGCACCTTTTACAACAACCTTTTGTAGCATTGCGGACTTGAAAATCTGGCTTAAGTTCAGGATGGTAGAACTGTGAAGGTGTTTTATGGAAACTGCCGAGTTGTAGCTTTAGGTCAAGGTACCACTGCCAACACCCCTCTAGTCTATAGGGACTGAGGTGCTTTGCTGCCATAAAAATGAATGGTTATTTCCTTGTCCGTGTCCTTGTATTCATACTGTTTTACCCTCCGGACAATAGTCTATATGATCTGTCAACAGAAGAGAATGGAATGTGGCCACTCTGGAATCATCCATTGTTAACTGAACCCAATCTGGATGCGCCATCTGATAACGTTCCCTATGAAAACAATGATGATAAATGTGTGTGCTTTGTGTGTCAGTGTCTCTGGTCATGTAAGAGTGAGGTGTCTCTTAGCTGCGTCCAAAATGGCACCCTATTACCTATTTAGTGCACTGATCAAAAGTAGTCCACTACATAGGGAATAGGGTACCATTTAAGACACTGCACACCTGTCTCTGGGCGATATCACTCCTCGTACATCTCTACTCACATCACGTGTCACTCTCTTCACAGGAACACGCCCACCTTCAAGTCGTTTGAGGAGAAAGTAGAGACTTTAAAGGTAATGGATACGAAAAGTGACTAAGAACTTACAATCACTTCTCAGTACATTTGGAGGAACCATTCAATATTTATCTTTATCAAAACAGACAATAAAAAGTCAATAATTCATCCATTCGTTCATTTATACATTCATACATTTGTTTGTTCCTTCATTCATTCACTCATTCAACACCTGTATCTCTTCCTCCTCCTGCAGGTCAAGATGAGCCCGACGGTGTCTCAGGGTGATTTTGGCGACGTGTTGACCTCTACAGCAACCTCTGACCCATCTGTTGTCATGGAGAAACAGCCAGAGGCCACGCCCATCGCCATCCAGGAAGAACAGCCCCAGTGAGACCAGGCTGACCTTTGACCCCTGACCTCAGACAGATGACATCCACTGGAACATATACCCTTCTTAAAAGTGTACGGGAAATATTTGAAAAAATAAACAGATATGACAAAACTATGTTATGAACCAAACATATATAAAAGAAGACTTATCTAAAATTTGCTAAAATATTTAGAAATCATATATAGCAAAATAATAATATCGATAACTATGAAAAATCTTTTGAACATATATCATCATTAAACTCATCTCAACTACTCTCAACCTTCTGTATCAAATATTACTGAACCAAATACTTCTATTCTAATCTCATAACTACTTTATGACTATCTATAACTACTCCTACTAATCCTTCTGTCTGCACATATTTATGTACTATCTCTCTCACATCACTTCCATAATCTGTATACCCCTCTTTCTCTCTAACTCTCATATCATCTCTATCCCTTCTGTCTCACTATTTGACTCTCCTCTCTATCTCATCTCCACTTCTGTCTCCCATCTTTCATGACTCTCTCTCCTCTCTCTATACACCTTCGTCTCCACCTCTTTTGCTCATCCCTTGCTCTCTCTGATCTCTATTCCTACTACTTTGTATCACCTCTTTCTGACCATCTCTCTCTCTCATTACTCATCTCTCCTTTATACTCTTCTCCTACTTATACATGGAACAACATGGACACAGCACAACAGAACAGATCCAACAACCAAAAAAGAAATTAAATGATGAAAATATTGTTGACACCTTAACACTTGTGAGTTTGTATGACTGTGTGTTGGTTTTAGAATGGCCAGCTACCTCTACCCTCTACCCTGGTTTGGGAACCTGCACAAGTAGAATACAATACATTACACTCAAAGGATAGAATCTGTCACAGCAAGTGATGCTTTATTACGTTTATTAATAGCACAAAGCCCTTATATTTGCATGTCTTTGAGTTGTAAAAGGGATTTTTGGGGGGTACTCCAATTTCCCATTTTGTTTTTAATCACTGTATGACTCTCTTAAGATTTGATCTCTAGAGAACGCATGGTCCTTTAACACTGAAGTGTTGCTCTCACACCATTTATTTGGTTAAAGGCATTGGTTACTCTCACCAATATCTTCAAACCGTGTCCATCTCTGTCTGAATAGCACTAGTAATGTGGTATGGAACACAGCTGTGTAGAGTTAATCCCAGATCAGTGTAGCTCACACACTCCTCTCACAGTTTAACCATAGGGGGGTGGTCTAAATCTGACCTCCGAGCAGTTCACAGTGCTTAACTCTGACAATAAAAAATAAATAATTCATCCATTCGTTCATTTCTACATCCATGTGTTTGTTCCTTCATTCAGATCAGTGTGTAATGGTGGTCACAGCAGCAGATGCATGGTTTTATATTATGCTGCGTCAGCTGGCCTTAACTCTAATCTACATCACTCACTGCCTCACGCATGGCGGGCCAAAGTCAATATTGGACCACTTGTCTCATTGGTTTCTGTGAGGGACATAGAAAATGGCTACTTTCTCTCTGCTTGGTATGCTGAAACAGGATAGTCACTGGATGCTGTGTACTTCTCTACTGTTGAATGTTTTTGTATTTTTTATTTTTTTTTACCCTCAATGTATATTCTCTTCTGATGAAAGAATATGTAACCAAAAATGTTTACTACAGACCACATTGGTGATGCATACAGCCTTGGACAGTGAGTATTTGGTGTAAATAAATGCCTGATGCAAGTCCTCCCCTACTGGAAGAAGACTGGCCACATCATGGCAGGGATTTATTGAGGAAGTGAAAACTTCTGAAAAGCCTTGGTTCCACCATTAAAATGTCTTCCAGATCTCTTGTCCTCATTTAACCCAACCGCTATGGCAGTAGGACAGTAAGGTAGAAGGACAGGCAGTAGGGCTGTGGGACAATTAGGGCAGTAGTAAAGTTGTAAGGCAGTAGGACAGTAAGGCAATAGGACAGGCTGTAGGGCAGTCGGACAATAGGGCAGTAGTAAAGTTGTATGGCAGTAGGACAGGATAATAGGGCAGTAGGATGGTAAGGCTGTAGGACACTAAGGCAGTATCACAATAAGGCAGTAGGACAGTAAGGCAGTAGAACAATAAGGCAGTGGGACAGGCTGTAGGGCAGTAGGACAGGCAGTGGGACAGTAAGGCTGTGGGACAGGCAGTAGGACAGTAAGGCAGTCAGTCAATAGGGCAGTAGTAAGGCAGTAGGGGACAAGGCAAATAAGAGGTAGGGCAAATAAGGCGGTAGGCAGTAGGGCAGAAGGCGGGGTAGGGGGAGTAAGGCAGTTTGGCCAGTAGGGCAGTAAGGCGGTAGGGCAGTAAGGCAGTAGGCCAGTAGGGCAGTAAGGCGGTAGGGCAGTAAGGCAGTAGGCCAGTAGGGCAGTAAGGCGGTAGGCCAGTAGGGCAGTAAGGCGGTAGGGCAGTAAGGCAGTAGGGCAGTAAGGCGGTAGGCCAGTAGGGCAGTAAGGCGGTAGGGCAGTAAGGCAGTAGGCCAGTAGGGCAGTAAGGCGGTTAGGGCAGTAAGGCAGTAGGCCAGTAGGGCAGTAAGGCGGTTGGTAGGCCAGTAGGGCAGTAAGGCAGTAGGCCAGTAGGGCAGTAAGGCGGTAGGCCAGTAGGGCAGTAAGGCGGTTTGGCCAGTAGGGGCAGTAAGGCGGTAGGGCCAGTAGGGCAGTAAGGCGGTAGGCCAGTAGGGCAGTAAGGCGGTAGGCCAGTAGGGCAGTAGCACAATAAGACAGTAGGACAGTAGGGCAGTAGAACATGAGCACAATAAGGCAGTAAGACGGTAAAGCAGTAAGGCAGTAGGACAGTAAGACAGTAGGACAGTAAGGCAGTAGGACAGTAGGACAGTAAGACAGTAGGAAAATAAGGCAGTAGGAAAATAAGGCAGTAGGGTTGTAGGGCATTAAGGCTGTAGGGCAGTGGGCTGTTCACGTGTGTGTTTAATCATTACCTTTTTCACAGATACACCTCTCAAGAAAGGGGGTTTCCCACCTCATTGTGGGCACAACAGCTGCCCTGGTCTGGTCTGTAACTTGAATGCTGACGTCTCTTATTTTCTTGTTTGAAAGGTTGTGAGAGATGCCAAAGGGGTCACACAAAGACAGGGCACTGTTCAAGTGCATTCTTGTTAATAAATCACCTACTTTTGGTATTTTTTATATATTTTTAATGTTTCCCCCATTTAGGAGGCATGAAAGGAGAACACATTTTTCATCCATTGATTTTTGAAATAACTTCCTCTTTAGCAAAGCATCATCATGAGGAATCCTTAGATCCACTGTGGTGTCACACTGTCAGAGACAAAGATGAAACTAGAGAATAGTCATGTCACTATTTCATAGAACGATGTTTGGAGGGAAGGGCTGGTTTCAGGAGGTGGAAAGAAGCTCAGAGGTTGTCAGGAGGATAGATGTGCCAATGGCTACATAGATATACAGTGGGGGAAAAAAGTATTTAGTCAGCCACCAATTGTGCAAGTTTTCCCACTTAAAAAGATGAGAGAGGCCTGTAATTTTCATCATAGGTACACGTCAACTATGACAGACAAATTGAGGATTTTTTTTCTCCAGAAAATCACATTGTAGGATTTTTAATGAATTTATTTGCAAATTATGGTGGAAAATAAGTATTTGGTCACCTACAAACAAGCAAGATTTATGGCTCTCACAGACCTGTAACTTCTTCTTTAAGAGGCTCCTCTGTCCTCCACTCGTTACCTGTATTAATGGCACCTGTTTGAACTTGTTATCAGTATAAAAGACACCTGTCCACAACCTCAAACAGTCACACTCCAAACTCCACTATGGCCAAGACCAAAGAGCTGTCAAAGGAAACCAGAAACAAAATTTTAGACCTGCACCAGGCTGGGAAGACTGAATCTGCAATAGGTAAGCAGCTTGGTTTGAAGAAATCAACTGTGGGAGCAATTATTAGGAAATGGAAGACATACAAGACCACTGATAATCTCCCTCGATCTGGGGCTCCACGCAAGATCTCACCCCGTGGGGTCAAAATGATCACAAGAACGGTGAGCAAAAATCCCAGAACCACACGGGGGGGACCTAGTGAATGACCTGCAGAGAGCTGGGACCAAAGTAACAAAGCCTACCATCAGTAACACACTACGCCGCCAGGGACTCAAATCCTGCAGTGCCAGACGTGTCCCCCTGCTTAAGCCAGTACATGTCCAGGCCCGTCCGAAGTTTGCTAGAGTGCATTTGGATGATCCAGAAGAGGATTGGGAGAATGTCATGTGGTCAGATGAAACCAAAATATAACTTTTTGGTAAAAACTCAAACACGTCGTTTTGGAGGACAAAGAATGCTGAGTTGCATCCAAAGAACACCATACCTACTGTGAAGCATGGGGGTGGAAACATCATGCTTTGGGGCTGTTTTTCTGCAAAGAGACCAGGACGACTGATCCGTGTAAAGGAAAGAATGAATGGGGCCATGTATCGTGAGATTTTGAGTGAAAACCTCCTTCGATCAGCAAGGGCATTGAAGATGAAACGTGGCTGGGTCTTTCAGCATGACAATGATCCCAAACACACCGCCCGGGCAACGAAGGAGTGGCTTCGTAAGAAGCTATCGTATCTGAAGATTATGCCTTTGTTAAATGTTTTTCATGACGAAATGGAATGTTGGTTGTTCAGGCCAAAGGGGGGATGTTTTATGATGTATTTGAAATGTGCCGCTTGGAGGGTGACGCCCGAGGGGAGACTGGTGATTGGCCAGAAGAGGGAGTAGCCCCTCCCTTTGCATTGTTTATAAATAGGAGTTAAACGATGAGACGACCAGAACGGCCATAACAATCTGGGAGGCGTTCTCCAGGCAACGCGTTGTCTGTGAATTTATGCTGTAACCTCGTGGTATGAATAAAAAATCTCCTGACACAATGCAGATCCAAACGGCAATTCCTCCTCTTGTTTCATCACCCGCCTAACTCTCTCTACATCCCAAAATTTCTCCTATTGTTA